GACTCCAACTCAAAAAAAAAAAAGAAAAGAAAAGTAGATGCTGGCTGAGATGAAGTTGTGGGCCTGGGCCAACTAACAAGGTGGTCAGTTCCCTTCTGTGACTTGCTGCATTCTTTTTTTTATTTTTTGAGTTGGAGTCTCACTCTGTTGGCCAGGCTGGAGGGCAGTGGCATGCTCATGGCCATTACAGCCTCGACTTGCTGGGCTCAGGTGACCCTTCTGCCCCAGCCTTCCAAGTATCTGAAACTATGGGCATGTACCACCACACTCGGTTAAATTTTTGACTTATTGTAGATATGAGGTCTTACCAAGTTGCCCAGGCTGGTCTCCAACCCGTGAGCTCAGGTAATCCTCTCACTTCGGCCTCCCAAAGTGCTGGGATTATAGGTGCTAGACACCATGCCCGGCCGCTTGTTCCATTCTAACTGTAGTTGGCTTCATGGCTGCTCACGTCCATGTCCTGACCTAAGAGCAAGGGATACTGGTAAGCTGTGTGCCTGGAGGTAGAGGACACAGTTTAGTGAGCAGCTAGCACGTCTCTGCCCCATCCCTGCCTGGGCAGACCCCTCTCCTGCCCCCTCCTTCACCCCATTGCCTGCTCATTCACTCCCCCACCTCAGTGCAGCCCTGGTCTCTTCCCTCTCTTGGCCCTGCCCGTCCTTGGACGTGTGTGATCTCTCTTTGGACACAGGCTGGGGCCCCGACTTTCATGCTGGGTTAATTCTGCTGGCTGGTCTCTTTTTGCCACAGGACCCCACCAATCTGGACAAGTTCAATGTCTCCAACTTCTTTCATGTGAAGAATAACATGAAAATAACAGACCCAGGTATGTACAGCCAGGGGCTAGGATGGGTGAGAGGGTTGTGGGTGAAGTAGGGACGGCGCTTCCTGGGAAAAGCCTGTACCTTTCTGGGGTAGGAGAGTCCAGGCCTAGGCAGGCCTTTTTTGGAGTTGAGGGTCTCACTATGTTGCCCAGGCTGGAGTGCAGTGGCAAGATCACTGCTCACTCACCCTCAACTTCCTGGGCTCAGGTGATCTTTCCACCCTCCTGAGTAGTCACAACTACAGGTATGTGCCCCCACACCTGGCTAATTATTTTTTGTGACAACAAGCGCTCACTATGTTGCCCAGGCTGGTCTCAAACTCCTAGGTGCAAGCAGTCCTCCCACCTCAGCCTCTCAGAGTGCTGGGATTATAGGTGTGAGACACTGCACCAAGCCAGGCCCTACATTTTCTGAAGTGATATTTAGCTTCAGATGTTCAGAGAACACAAGTCTACTGCTACCTCAGACAAGGCATGGGGTATTTTGCAGTGCTAGGACACTGTCTCATGCTGCCTTCCCCAGCCCTGGCCATGCACCTCCGGGATTCCTGTTGATCTACTCTGCCCAAGGCATAGTAATGGAGACATCACTGTGATGGAGACTCTGGGCCACATCAGGCCTGTGTCCCATGGCTAGCTGGGCCTTGGTCCCTCTGCTGTCTGTAGATAGGCCTGTACTGTCAGCGAGCAGGTTGTGGGGTGCATGGAGTTCCTGCATATTCTTGGCTCACTCAAGGCAATTGCAGAGCTTTGGAGGAGCCAGTAAGACTCATACTCTGAGGTCAGCAGTCCTTGCACTGTGGAACAGTGTCCTGGGCACTTGTGGATGAGCTGAGCAATGAATGAACCAGTTAGGATCTTGGGAGGCCGAGCGCACACTGGGGAGATGGAATGCAGGAGACCCAGAGGCTGGGGTCTGGGGCTTGGCAGGCAGCAGGTGCCCTCGAGTGGGCACAGATGAAGCATTTCACATCTGAAAAGACGTGAAATGCTTATTTTAAATAAATAACTTTTATTTTAAATAAATAACTTTAAAAATTTTTATTTTAAATAAATAAATTTTAAAATTGCAAATAAAAATGTATATATACTATAAAGAGATTGCAATATATGCATAAATACAAATAAGAAAATACAAATCAATCCTAAATCTGCCTCCTGAGACCCTCATCAACTGCGTGTGGGAGACCCCCAGACCTGTGGCTGGACACTGTGGCACTCTGTATGCTTGGGCACCTGGCCTTACTATGCCCACCTGTGCTTCCATGACACAATGGCGGCAGTGTGGGGCCTGTGCCATGACTGGGCAGGCCTGGCCTCACTGCCTGGGGTTTCCACTGTTGCAGTCGGCTCTGGATTTGTGTCCCCATCTAGCACCTGGTAATGCTGCTAGGGCTTGGCTACTCAGGGCTGTGCTCTATTGTATAGATGAAGAGAAGGCCAAGCAGGACCCATCTTACTATTTGAAAAACACCAATGCTGAGACCCGAGAGACGCTGCAGGAGCTCTACAAGGAGTTCAAAGGTGATGAGATTCTGGCAGCTACCATGAAGGCCCCGGAAAAGAAGAAAGTAGACAAGCTGAATGCCGTGAGTGGTGGAGGGCACTTGAGCCTCATCCCCTTGCTGCCTCTGGAAGTGGTCCTGGGGTCTGGGGTACATTTGGGAGAGAGGTGGCCGGGCACTAACCTGGAACCTGCATGCCCTATCCTCAGGGCTGCCTGTGGTGGCTGGGCCCTGAGGAGGCAGGAGGAGTGGGGCTATCATCCACACTGGGGTCAAAAACCAGTGGGTGAGTGGGGGCCACGTGGTAGGCAGGCTCTACCACAGAAGGTCTCCTTGCGCTCTAGTCATAGCCTGAGCTTGGCAGCCAGAGCGGGCTTGTTGGATGGACAGTGGCCCAGGGCATGTGGGTCTGTGGTGGGGGGAGGGCAGGGCCTGCTGGGGCACACTGGTGCCTGGAGCTAAGCCAAGGAGTATTGGAATGTTTCAGGGATGATCATGGTGCTGAGTGGGCAGTATGCCAGGCTACCACTTGGGCCTCCGTCTGGGGCCACTGTGTTTTCTCCTCACCCAGTTTAGACAGAGCCTGGGGAACTGAGCTAGGGGAATGCAGAGGCCAGGGCAGGCTGCTCTGAGGTATACCCCTTGAAGAATCATTTAAATTCTGGGAGATTTGAAACATTTAAGAAAGGCACTTTGAGAGGCCAAGGTGAGAGGATTGCCTAAGCCCACATGTTCGAGACCAGCCTGGGCACTTTGGTGAGACCTCATCTCTACAATAAATAAAAAAAAATTAGCCAAGCATTGTAGCACATGCCTCTAGTTCCAGCTGCTTGAAAGACTGAGGCAGAAGGATCACCTGAGTCCAGCAGGTTGAGGCCGTGGTAGCCATAAGCGTGCCACTGCCCTCCAGCCTGGGTGACAGATGAGACTCC